CCCTAAATGGCTGCAACAGTGAGGGGCTAACATGGATGGAAGCCGGGAGTCCAGAACTGCATCTGGGTCACCCACCTGGGTTGGAACCTGCTGACTTCCCAGACATCTTAGGAGGCAGAGCGGCGGGACTGTAACACAGGATGCCAGCGTAACAAGCAGCTACTTAACCATGCTAAAACACTGGCTGCCCCCACCCCCACCCCTGTTTTCTTTAAAACCACCAGTTGGGAGCACTTCCAGCCCACCTTGGGGATAACGCACACTCTGGAGAGCAGAGGCGAAGGCTCAAGCAGCTAGCACCCAAACCGAGTTCTGGGATCCTGCCTCAGTTGCTCAGACATCTACAGGTAACCCAACAGATGGAACGTCTCTATTTACACCTTTGTCTTTCAAATAAATAATGCCAAAAAAATTTTTTTAAGAAAAACCAAAAATACAAAGTACATGGAAAACACAGCTTAAACTTACAAAAGCAGTGTTGGATCTTTTCAATTGGCACAAAATAGTATTTCCCAGTGAAGCGCATGCCTCTAATAGAGGATGCTGATTTGAAAAACACTGAAGCACCTGGGCTTACTATCATGTCAACTGAGGGTAATGATTATGCAAAAAAGGTAAAAATAAAAAACAGTGGCCATTAACCAAAAAGTATCAGCAAACCAAGAAGGAAATCCAGGTGGAAAGCTGACGGATGCACTCCAAACACACAGACCAAAACAACCTACATGAATGTTCACAGTAAGACCATGATAGCAAAATTGGAAACAAAGTCCAGAGTATCTTGATATGAAACTTCAAAACTACGTATGTTTGCATCATTAAATGCCTTACAGCCATGGAAAAGCTTGGTATGAACTCTCATAAGTGAATATGGGAAAGTATCATTAAATCACAAAAGCTGAAGATTGCTGTGTGCATTCATGCAAAACCTGTATCTTTATATATAAAGAAAATTTTCAGAATACACAAGAAAGCAAAGACAGTAGTTATCTCCATAATGTTGAAAAAGGTAACAAGGGGCCTGGCATGGTAGTTAACAGCTAGTATCCTGGCCTTGAACTCACCAGGATCCCATATGGATCCCGCCAGCTCCACTTCCCATCCAGCTCCCTGTTTGTGGCCTCAGAACGCAGTCAAGGACGGCCCAAAGCCTCAGGACCCTGCACCTGCGTGGGAGACCTGGGGTGTGTGGCGTCAGGGGTGTGTTCCTGACTCCTGGCTTCGAGTCAGCTTGGCTCGGCTCTGGCCACTTGGGGAGTGAATCATTGGATGGAGGATCTTCTCTCTGTCTCTCCTTTCTGTATATCTGACTTTCCAATAAAAAAAAAGTCACCCAGTAGATGGAAGATCTGTTTTCCAAATGAAATGAAAAATAAAACTCAAGTTTAATCACCTATCCAACGCTCAATATCCCTCTCAGAACATCTTTACAACTCAATCTCTGCTTATGGTTAAAAAAAATTCATCATGTTTATTAAATCTAACTATCACAATTATTCCTCAGTTAAGCTAAAATTCAATTTTCTGTAATTCAACCATTGGTCTAATTGGCTCAGTTCTGTACTTTTGAGAAAGTAGAAAAGATTCTCTATCTTCAACACAACAGAACTTTGAACAATTTTCAGCCACTGTTACAATCCTCTCCCTTTTTTAAAGAGCTATTTATTTTTATTGGAAAATCAGATTTACAGAAAGCATAGACAAAGATCTTCCATCCACTGGTTCACTCCCCAAGTGACCATAACAGTCAGAGCTGAGTCATTCCAAAATCAAGCGCTTGTTTCAGATCTCCCCTCACTGCTGCAGGGTCCCAAGATCTGCTGCTTTCCCGGGCCACAACAAGGAGTTGGATGGGAAGTGGAGCAGCCAGGACTTGAACTGGTGGCCCATACGGGATTTGAGGGGGGGAGGGGATGCAAGGCGAGGACTTTAGCCACTAGGTATAGTATAGCCGAACCTTCTCTCCCTCTTAAATCTCAGAACAAAACCTCCTGTTCTGGAAATTATTTCTACACCCCTTCTCATTCTAGTCAACCTCCTGTTAACTTAATCTAGCTCCTCGGGTGCCTCTTAGAAGGAAACACCCCTACTCAACAAAAAATTCCAGATCTGATCTGACCAGAGCTGTGGCCTCCTTTGTCTGGGTCACTATGAGCTTAACAATACAAGAGCAGTTGCCAGGTGGTGAACAGTTCACACCACTAATGCCTTAAAAGAAAGACAGCACTGTGGACTGAAAAAAAGAAAGAAAGAAAAAATAAAAAGTAGACTACAAGCTAGAAAAGGAAGAACACACCTCAGATAAGTGAAAAGACATAAAAAGTCCTTCCAATGGGTTCTAAGAGCAGAGGAAGGAATTTGCAAAACACCAGAGCAATGAATCTGTGCAAGGACATGCAAAAACATATAGACAGGGCCCGGCACGATGGCGCAGTGGTTAAGGTCCTCGCCTTGCACGCCCCGCTTCCCTTCCAGCTCCCTGCCTGTGGCCCGGGAAAGCAGTGGAGGACGGCCTGGGAAAGCAGTGGAGGACGGCCCGGGAAAGCAGTGGAGGACGGCCCAAAGCATTGGAACCCTGCACCTGCGTGGGAGACCCGGAAGAGGCTCCTGGCTTCGGACCGGCATAGCATTGGCCGTTGGGGCCACTTGGGGAGTGAATCATCGGACGGAAGATCTTCTTTCTGTCTCTCCTCCTCCTCTCTGTATATCCGCCTTTCCAATAAAAATAAAATAAAATAAATCTTAAAAAAAAAAAAAACATATAGACATAGTCAAAAAGGAGAGCTGGGCCAGAACAGTGAGAGGCTTTGGCATGCAGGCAGTAAGCCATGATTAAGGGGTGAAACCAAACAACGGGCTTCTCCGATGAGATGGTGGGGTGATTAAATCAATGCCAGCTTGCCAATTCCTACACCAAGTTAACTCCACATGACTGCGGGGGTTGGGGGGGAGTTTCTAATTCAATTCTATTCCAAGATGAACTGAAATTGAGTTGTTATACATGATGACCAAGGCATTGCTTTCAGAATATACTATTCCAAAACACAAAGCAAGGAATGCCGTTGGGGATGTATTTCTATCCTTTCCTGCAGGGTTTCTCAGGATGAATACTTTGCCATTTAATATGACACATACATACAAGGTAGCTGTGTAGTAATTAAATGTTCAGGATCTCTAATGGAGACCATGACCTTCTGGTCTCTTTCTGTGGGTTCAGAAGTGGGGAAATTCAACCACTGGGACATTAGAGGGGAAAGAGGTTAGTGAAACCACAGAATGTCAACAATGAAAGCAGCAGCAGCAGCAGCAGCGCTTCTGAAATTAAATTGTTAAATAAGAATTTGAGGGGCCCGGCGCGGTGGCGCAAGTGGTTAAGTCCTCGCCTTGCAACCCCGGGATCCCATATGGGCGCCGGTTCTAATCCCGGCAGCCCCGCTTCCCTTCCAGCTCCCTGCTTGTGGCCTGGGAAAGCAGTGGAGGACGGCCCAAAGCTTTGGGAACCTGCACCCGTGCGGGAGACCCGGAAGAGGCTCCTGGCTTCGGATCGGCATAGTATCGGCCCGTTGCGCTCACTTGGGGAGTGAATCATCGGACGGAAGATCTTCCTCTCTCTCTCTCTCCTCTCTCTGTATATCCGCCTTTCCAATGAAAAAATAATAAAAATAAATCTTTAAAAAAAAAAAAAAAAAAAGAATTTGACTTAAACCATCTCCTGCCTAAAGAGTCTTCCAGGAGCACTAGTTCTACAATGTGCTGTGCCAGTGGAGAATTTACAGAGTGTCCAAGAGATGCTAGCAAAACTCAGCCTCTCCCAAATCCTGCCATGGAGCAGCAGGGATATAAAGGAATAAATAAATTACCCAACCACTGAGAGCAAAAGTGAAATTCTCATTAATGAAAAAAAAAAATGAAAGAAGAAACACTGAGTCTCCTAATCCCCAGAAACAGCAATTTCATTTTGGGTTAATGCAGATTTAAACAGCAGAAGAGAGCACCACACAGCCGGTCGGTGTGGCCAGCAGCTGGGGGAAAAGCTGTTATCAGATCACAAACAATAACAATGCTCCCAACCTGAGCAGCCAAAAGAAACAGGAACTGCTAACGCCCTAGGACCAGGTGCCAGAGGTCCCGGGGACGGCTGCAGGGCATACTCTCCCTTAGCCCCTCTCGTTCAATACAGATGGGACACACTGTAACTTGAATTTCGCACCATCAAATTCAGTGAGTAATCCAAACCCTGCCTTTTCTGATCAGATAATCTCTCTAAAGCCACAGTCCTTGCATTCATTCAGAACCAACCCCGAGTTCCTACTATGTCAGACTGTGAACACTACAAAAAAAAAAAAAAATCTCCGTGGCGTGGAGTCCGTACACCACCCCTCTTGTTAAACCCCAGAGCTCTCCAAGCTATCTCTTTAAATGGCTTAAGTGTCCTTGGGGGGAGACTGGGGGAGGGTTGTAGGGAATCAATAAAAGGCCCTCTGCCTGGAAGCACTGTGATAGAAGTGAAAATAAATCACAGCGCTTGTGGTCAGCTGCTCAAAGATTCCCAGTGAAATACGAGAATCATCTTAGCCTAGACCCCAGGGAAGGAAAGGGATCAAGACAATGGAGAGGTGCAAACCCAGAAAGTACACTGAATACGGTCTGTGACAGCTGTAGTCCGAGCGCGTTCCAATTTTAAAAACTCCTTCTAAGCTGACTGCAGGGAGAATAAAGCAGAGGGGACACAGCCCATCAGTGACTGGCATCGCGGTCTGACTGGAGGATCCCCGCCACCGCTGCCACCGGGGTGACCCAAGCCCGGAGCCCACGGCCGTCACCGGAACCAGAGGCAAGAGTGCCTCACAAGCTGCGCGGGGAAAGCTCTCCCAACGTTTCTAAGGGATTAACTGACGTAAACAGGACTGCCCCGAAGGCACCGACGGGGGGTGAAGTCTGGCTAGGTTGGCAGCAGAAACCCCACTGCGGAGCGCTAGCAGAGTGCCCGGGCCACTCACCGCGCACGCAGAGCAGCGACATGGCCGAGGGCGGGCGAGCCTCCGCCGGGCCGCTCCCTCCGCTCCCCTCAGCAGGTGCCGCTGCCGCTCCCGCGCTCGGTCCCGCGGCTTCGGCCGCTCCGCATGGTCCCCAGTCGCAGCAGCGTCCCTCGGCTCCCTCCCACGTGCCGCGAGGCTCACGGTCGGAGCACACTCGGCCCGGCGGGGCGTCCCGGCCGGTGCGCCGGGCACTGGGCGCGGCGCCGCGGCGCCATCGCCGGGAGGCAGGAGCCGCAGGGACGCCCGCCCGTCCCTCCAGCCGGGAGCCGGGCAAGCTCCTGGGCGGGGCCGAGCCGCGGGGCCCCGCCCCCTGGCCAATCAATTCACGCCCAGTCCACCGACCCCGCCCCTCACGGGCATGTAGGAGGCGGGGCCGCCTTCCGCCCTCCTGACGTGCGGGACTCTGGGCAGCCACGCCCACGAGCGAGGCTTCCAGCCGGGAGGCGCCTCAGCTCACCTGTGAAGGCGGGAAAGGAAACGCCCAGTGCCTCCCGCGTGGGTGAGGCGTCCACCCAGCAGGAGATACTTTACATTGAAGAATTCCTTAAGCATCCAGTCCTGACAGCCGAGGACCTGACTGTGATTATTAACAAGATCGGACCACACAGCAGACCAGAGAAGTTTGAATTAGCAACTAGTACAAGCTGAACAAAGTCTGGAGGCCACATCCTATTTAGCCATTTTATTTTCATGCTTGTCATTGCGGCTCCCATGTCTAGAATAGCACCTTGCATGTAGAAATGAATGCATAAATATTTACTGCATGGAGAAAGGTATTTTAAGCAGAGGATTTCTGGCAAGATAATGCTTGGACATGTGAGGAATGCAGAATGGAAAAAAAAAAGCAGAAAACAGGAAGACAGACTCCTCCTATAGCATGCTCTATAGATCTACCACCATACCCCCAAAATATGATTTAATTAGTTTGGAGAACAGCTCAGTTACCTTATATTTTATTTTATTTTTTATTTTATTTTATCTTGTTTTATTTTACTTATGGCCCAGCCCAAATGCTCAAGTGTCAGCATCCCATATGAGACCTGGTTTGTGTCCTGGCTGTTCCACTTTCCTTCCAGGTCTCTGCTTGTAGTCTGAGAAAACAATGTAGGACGGCCCAAAGCCTTGGAAACCTATAGCTGCGTGGGAGATTGCAGAAGCACCTGGCTTCAGATTAGCTTGACTCCAGCTGATGCGGCTATTTGGGGAATGAACCAACAGATGGTGGGTCTTTCTGTCACTACTTCTTTCCATAAATTAAATCTGACTTGCCTATCCAACAAAAATCGATCATTCTGTTAAAAATATATAATGTACTTTTGTATTAGAGAAGCAGATTTACAGACAGAATGGGGGACAGAAAGATCTCCCATCCACTGGTTCACTCTCCAAATTGCTTTAACAGCTAGAGCTGAGTTGATCCAAAATAAGGAGCCAGGAGCTTCTTCCAGATCTTCCAGGTGGGAGCAGGAGCCCACGGACTTGGGCCGTCCTGGACTGCTTTCCCAGGCCACAGGCAAGGAGCTGGATAGGAAGTGGAACAACCAGGACAGGAACTGGTGTCCAAATGCAATGCCAGCACATCAGGCCACTGCACTTGCTCCACAAAGTGCCTATATGGGATGCTGACACTTGCAGGCTGATTAGCCTGTTCAGCCATGGCGTGGCTTCAGATATCTCATTTTTTAGAGGTTCTTCAGCTGATTCTATTTGCTCTTCCACAGTTGAACACTACTATTCTAGGGCCTCATTAGCCCAGCTCAGATTTGCCAGCCCTTGGCGCCTTAGGATTCTACCTGCCTGACGGGGGAGAGTGAAACAAGCTACCCTACTTACTGTATGATTGCTGTCCCTGGAATAAGTGCTATGTGAGAGTGGCCTTCCCAGTGTTATAGCTATGAGCCTAAAGAAGCAAAGGAGAATTTATCTCACTATTGTGTATCCAAATTGGCAGGGACATTGCAAGAATTTACAGTACACCTCAATCAGATAACAGCATGCCTCATCCCAAAGACAAGGGGCTTTCCCCAGAAACAGCTGTTTAAGCAGCTATTTAGCCCAGCTGTCCTGAATCACAAGAGCAAGGGATTAAAAATGGGTTGAACTTGTGGGTTCTGGGAATGAGTTTAGAGTCAACAACAAACAGACCTCCTGTAAAGCCAGAGATTTGCACGGGGATGCAGAAGCTCCCTAATAATAGGTAGTCACTTGCACTTGGAATCAGTAGAGAGCACATGAAACATCCTCATAAAATCATGAAGAGCATGATGAACTTTGGAGTCAATCAACATCTGGCTGATGTATTACCTATTGCATGTAACAAATTACCCCAAAACTCAGTCGTTGATTATCTCACAGGTTCTGTGAGTTAGAATGTGGCCATGGCTTACCTGATCCAGGATTCTCACAAACTTCAAAGTGCCAGGTGGATTGGGGAAGGACCCACATCCAAGCTCACTCATGCAATTCAATTCCTCTTGGACTTTGGGAGTAAGAGCCTCAGTGAGATAATCAACGACTGAGCATGTACAGGATCAAGGATGGAGTGTAGACAATGCTGGGCTAGGCTATCACACAAACTGGTGTGCGTAAAAGCCAGGGATGGGGCAAGTCTGGACAGAGCTAGGCTGCAGCACCCACCAGCAAAAATTAGGATTGGGGTGGATAAAGCCAGGCAGGCCAGACTGCAGTATCTGATATCAAAAGCCAAAGGGGTGATGGGCTATCCCGAGCTAGGTTGGAGCAACCACTGGCATGTGCAATATCGGTGGCTGGGAGCAGGCCTGGTTGGGGGCTAAGGGAAAGGCCTGGCTCGGTTCTGATTTCCACTGGTGAGCACAAGAGCTGAGTGGGGCAGCAAACTGGGCTGAACATGACTGCAGTATACCTTGCAGTAGGTGTGGACTGGGTCTGGGCTGTGCCAGACTGGGCTAGGCTCAAACACCCACGGGTACTCACAAGAGCAAGGGTGGGTAAAGGACAGGCTGGGCTAGGTCTCTGCACCTGCTGAACCATACAAGAGGAGGTACAGGCATTCCAGGAGGATGGAACAGGCATTGCTGAGCTGTATCAACCAACAAGAGTTGGAATGGTGTGGGCCTGTGAAACAAGGCCACTCACTGTTCCTGCCAGGACAAGAAGCAGGCCAAGTCAGGATGAACCAAGGACCCATTGATATGCACAAGATCTGCCACTAGGAGGTGACCTGATGGAGGAATTTGGGGAACTCTTCTGTCAGGATTCAGTCCCTAAAGATGCGAGCAAGAATCAAGACTGGGAGCTGCCTAGACCAGGCCAGGCTAGATAACCACCAGCATATGTGTGGGTCATGTTTGGGGGCAAGCCAGGTTGGGGAAATTCTTGTTTTTAAAGATTTATCTTTTTATTTTTATTGGAAAGGCGGATATACAGAGAGGAGGAAGAGAGACAGAGAAAAAGATCTTCCGTCCCATGATTCACTCCCCAAGTGAGCGCAACGGCCCGATGCTATGCCTATCCGAAGGTCTCCCGGATCTCCCATGCGAGTGCAGGGTCCCAAAGCTTTGGGCCGACCTCGACTGCTTTCCCGGGCCACAGGCAGGGAGCTGGATGGGAAGTGGGGCCACCGGGATTAGAACCTGCGCCCATATGGGATCCTGGCGTTCAAGGAAAGGACCTTAACCACTGCGCCATCACGCCAGGCCCAGTTGGGGAAATTCTTAACACCCACTGGCAGATCTGAGAACTAGCATGGGGTACAGAACAGGCCAGGTCAGGCCACAACACCAGTCAGTTCACATTAGGGCCAGGACAGGGGGCTAGCTAGGCTGGATGAGGCTAGGTTAAGCAGCTGTATCCTCTGGCCTATGTATGAGCCAGTGTAAGTGCAGGCTGGTCAGGCTTTGCCGCAGCAACAGCTGGCAAATGCTGAGACTGAGGGTAAGTCCTGTCAGTCTAGACTGCAGAACTAACTGAAAAGTGCAAGATCTGGGGCTGGGAGTGGTCCTAGTAGAGTAATTACGGGCACCCCTCTGATGGACTACAGCTCCCACAGGTGAACATGAGAACCGGGGATGGAGCAGACCTGGCTAGACAGGCAGTATAACCCCCGGCATGTATGCTGGATAGTAGGGTTGGTTGCACTGAGCTAAGCTGTAGCACACACTGGTGTGTATAAAAGCTGAATGGAATGTGGGACAAACCGGACCAGTCTGCTGCACATGCCAGTATGCACAGGAACCAAAGCTGGGGGCTGGCCCGTGAGGGTTCACTCCGGAGTCACTCCGACCAGGTTGCAGTTCCCACTGGTGTACATAAGGACCGAGAGTGTGGTGAGTAGGGTTGGGCTGGGCCACAGCATCCATTGGTTTGATATGGGGCAAGAGACAGAATTGACCCCGAAACTACTACAACCACCAGTGTGTGTGGAGGCTGATATGGGTGACAGACTGAGCCAAACTCTGCAGTTGCTAGCATACACACAGGAGTCAGGTCTGAGGTCACCTCATATGAGGTTTCTTTGGAGACTCCCCTAGCTGAACCACTGGACTCAGAATTTCAACCACAGGGACAATTGCAGGATCGATGATCTGACCAAGGAATGCATGCATCAAAACTGGACCTCCGGGCCTGGCGCGATGGCACAGTGGTTAAAGTCCTCTCCTTGCATGCCTGGGATCCCATATAGGTGCCAGTTCTAATCCCGGTGGCCCCGCTTCCCATCCAGCTCCCTGCCTGTAGCCTGGGAAAGCAGTTGAGGATGGCCCAAAGCTTTGGGACCCTGCACTCGCGTGGGAGGCCCGGAAGAGGCTCCTGGCTTCGGATCAGCATAGCATTGGCCATTGCGCTCACTTGGGGAGTGAATCATGGGACGGAAGATCTTTCTCTCTGTCTCTCTTCCTCCTCTCTGTATATCCGCCTTTCCAATAAAAATAAAATAAATCTTTAAAAAAAAAAAAAAACTGGACTTCCTCAGTTGCTTAAGCCAGTGCAGTGGACAGAATGCCCAGATACACATGGGGGATATAGAAGTCCACTGGGGCCTACAGAAGACATCTAGTGCCATAGCAGAGGATGGAGGGCAGAACAAATTTGACAGCTCTTCCAGCCAAGTATTGACAGCAAGTATCTGGGTGAATGGAAACTCTAAGTTGGACTATGTCAGCCAATGGATCTTAGA